GTTTCTATTTTTTGTTTTGTTTCTCCGTACGTTGCTCTGACTTGTTACTCTCTCTCGTTTCTTTTTTCATTTTAGTTTAACAATCTTTGATTGCTTTTATTTTTTATTCAATTAAAATGAAAATGCAAAATATAAAATTTTATTTAATGTTGGATTTTTATTTCAATTAACCTTATGACTTATTTTTTAATGGGGAAAATAATATAAATACCCCAAACTTGGAAGAAGTGTGAGATAAACACCTCAAACTTTCATATGTAATTTAAATACCCCAAACTTTATATAAAAAGTTATTTTAGCACCTTGGTCATGTATTATATATTTCTTTCAAAAATATAAATTTATGGTGTTCATTTCAAAATTTAAAATAGAAAATTAAATTTTATATAGAGTGGAGGTAATATTATTTATTTTACAATGGGAATTTAGAAAATTAGAATGTTAATTGTATCTTCAATTCATGAATGCTAAATTATTTTAAATTATGAAATTAACACAAAAATTGACATTTTTGAAAGAAATAATGCATGATCATGGTACTAAAATAACTTTTTATATAAAGTTTGGGGTATTTAAATTACATATGCAAGTTTGGGGTATTTACCTCATACCTCTTCAAAGTTTGGGGTATTTTAATTATTTTTCCCTTTTTAATTTATGTATTATAAAATATTTTAGATATTAATACATTTATGTGTCTGCAGAGTAAGTGTGATCACGTCGGCTTCCGTGGCTCTCGCAGCCACTTCATCACAATGAGTTTTATGTTAAATTCAAATGTGTATAACTCTTAAAATGAATGTGCAGACACAAATGAGCTTTTGATTTTTCGATACTCATTTTGTAAGTTGTGTATGCTCATTTGGTACCGGTCTTCTGCTCATTATATTTTTACATAATATTTGATTATAGACATGAGAGCACAGATCATGGTGCTCAACCGCACAATTCTAATACTCAATAGAGGATGTTTGATGCTCAATAAAATATCTTAATGCTCAACTAAAAAACTTATGACTTTCATATTAATGCGTATATTGTAAGTTACGTGTGCTCAATTGGTACTTCTATTATGCTCATCTTTAAAATGTCATAACAATGCATATTCCAAAAATACCATATTATATTAGATTCACATATTGAAATTCATAGACATTGGTTATAGATATAATTTAATGAGTTTTTATAAAAGAAAAAACAAGATAAAGAAAGTGAATTACAATATATGAAGTTGATATCACAATACTCATAATTCGACTTTTAATGTTAAGTAGAATATGTTTGATGCTCAGTAAAAGTGTGTTAATGCTCATCTAACGAAAACCAAGATATTTACTGAAATTACGAAAAATGTCACCGTTTTTTAGTTGTGATATCAGCTTTCTTGTAATAACGCGGTGCCCATTATTAGACGCTTAATTACTCATTAAAGTGGAACTATTGCTCATTAACAGTACACTAATTTAATACTCATTTAGCAGAAACTACGATTTTCACATTAATTACAAAATTGCCACCGAATTATTTTGTTATTTTTCCCTTGGGTCTGTTACTGGGCCGGTTGTACGGTGCTCACCGTACAGCCGGCTGTAACATATACATACTCGTGGCTGAAGGCAATACAATAAAAAGAAAAATATAGTTATAAAAAGATATTAACTCAACATAATTTTGGAAAGTGTTTTATTTTTTAAACAACATCAGGCATCTACTCTATCACGCGACACGCATATAAGAACTAGTTAAGTTGAATAAAAGTTAACCAAATTATGTTTTGTTTGTATAAGAGCCCTCCAAAAGAGAGGAGAAGAGAAAACAATTAAATTCTCATGATTTATTTTTTCTGAAATCAACTATCAACCGAGGATAAAATAATCTTGGATCCAAGTGTTTGGACCAATGATGCACCGCCAAATTTCTTTGGAGATAGAGATATCATACTTGTTTAGGAAGCGGACTATATGAAAGAAAAAATAGTTAGGTCCCATGCAATTGTTACTTCTCTTCTCCTAACCAAAGAAATTACTCCGTAAGTTTTTTATATCGTCTTTTCTTATTTATCTCTTCTTGAACCAGTTTTATGGCTGGATGCTCTATCTAGTGTTAACACCAAGAGATTCTAAATTTGTCGCAAACCATGCATATGGGCGACATTATTGCATTTTATCGACGTTGGCTTGCTAATCCAGCCCATGAGCAAGTTGACTTCTCATGGCTGGACCGGTGTCAAACCAATGCTCGAGCTTTGCCCGGCTCTTAAGTGTGTTGGGTTCGTTCTCTTGAGCTTAGCTTTTTTTTTTTTGGGGATAAAGGTTAGTTTGGTCCTCGAAGTTGCAAAAAAGGGATCAAATAAGTTCTTATATAGAAAATTTTGTCCGGACGTGCCATTTGAGGTGGCTCCCGGTGGAATTTTTTGATGAAATTTTTTTATCATCTTATTCATTAAGTCTAGTTTACTCATACCAAATTTCAAATAAAAATTCAATCGGGAAGACATTCAAATCAATTCTTGAAGATAACTGTGCCGTTAAAAGCGCAGTTATCTTCAAGAATTTATTTGAATGTCTCCCCGATTGAATTGTTAGCTAAAATTTGGTATGAGTAAACTAGACTTAATGAATAAGATGATAAAAAAATTTCATCAAAAAATTCTATCGGGAGCCACCTCAAATGGAACGTCCGGACATAATCTTCTATATAAGGACTTATTTGACCCTTTTTTTGCAACTTCGAGGACCAAACTGGCCCTTTACCCCCTTTTTTGTGCGGAAAATAAAATTAATTGCTACTAATCAAATCATAATCAAGTACATCAGTAACAAAAGGAGGGGAACTAAAAAACCAAATATGACTATCAGACAAAGAACCCGTTGCCTTAGCCATCGCATGAGCTGCTCGGTTCGCTGATCGTCGAACATGAGAAAAAATAATACTAACAAAGTTAGTCATCAAATCTCGTATATCCTCGGCTAAAATTCCGGAGTAAGATAAACTCGAACCCCTTTGAATTTCTTGAATAGCTAGAAGAGAATCAGATTCCACATCAATAAAATCCCATTGTTGAGCCTTAAGCCAACTGAGAGCTTCCCTCACACCCATAAGTTCAGTTTCGAGAGGGGTAAATTTACCGGTCCCCGAAGTACATCCACCTGCCAAAAATATTCCGTAGCTATCTCTTACAACCCATCCGAACCCGCATCTCTCTCCGATCCCCCGGTTGAGGCATCCACATTAACTTTCTGCCTCCCTGCACCAGGCCGCTGCCAGTGAATTGAGCTTAGCTTTTATTAGAGCACATTTGTTAGTGTTATTAATATTTGTACGTTACTTTTATATTTTTAATTGTATTTGTAATTATAATTATAGTTACAAATTACAATGGTATATATAATTTTAATTATATTTTTAATTATAACTATAACTATAGTAATAATAATACATTTATAATTATAATTCAAATTATGTTACAACTGTATTTATAATTGTAGTTGTAATTATAATTGTAATAGAATTTATAATTATAATTATAATAATTTAATAATAATAATAATAAGAATAATAATAAACACTAATTATATCAGAAATGTTCATATGAGTAGGAAGAAAAATTTAAACTAGATGAGATAAAAAAGATTAGATTATATCATAAAGATTCAAATAAAGTTAAAGAAGTTCAGAACAAATCAAAAAATCAAATCATATAAAACCAGATCTTAAAATATTTGGTCCATAAAAATTCAGACCATATGAATACAACAACTTCTTACTTCTTAGTATGACAGAAAAAACATTCATTATAAAAGGGGTGATTTGAGTTTGCACCCCATTTTATTGTGCAAATTGGACTTTGCACCACATTTTTAAAATACTTTGTTTTTGCACCCCAACCCCATATGAAAATTAGGGGTGGGCAAAAATACCGAACCGGCATGGTACCGAACCGAACCGATATGGTACTGGACCGAAAAACGGGGTTTGAAACGGATCTCAATTTTTTTGTCCCGAACCGAACCGTACCGATTCTAAACAATGCCATGACCGGTTCTCATAAAATGAGAACCGGTACCGGACCGAACCGGACCGAAGTATGATTCAATGATTTAAATTTACATTTATACCCTTACTTTGACTATTATCTTCACACTTTCACCGTCTTTGCTTATTCATAGGAAGTCTGGAATCGGACCGATGTATGGTTTAATTATTTATATTTGTACTGCTATAATTTATCTGAAATTTATTAATTATGTAAAATACTACATTCATCCCAAATTGATTTGCAAAATTAACTTTTCTTGGTCAAACAGTTTCATTTTATTCACTTAACTAGAATGTCACTTTTTAATTATATTTAATTTGGAGCTTGCAACCTTGAAGAGATTTCAATGTAGTTTCTGAATATGTTTATTTTAATTATTAAAAAATAAATCAATTATCAATAAGGAGAATTTAACTTTAACATGGTTGACAAAAAAATTAATGACTTTGCATGTCAATTTGGGATAAAATGAGTATGAAAATTGATAAATTGTGTCGATTTTTGAAGGATGAATAAATTTTAATTTCCTCTTAAGCAATTGAAAAAAGTGGCATTGTTTGGTATTGGTATGACATGGTACCGTCCCGTTTCAAAATGAACCCGTACCGAACGGGATTAGGTCTAAGACCGAACCGAACCGAACCGTTTGAATAGTAACGGTACGGTTACGGGTTCGGCCAAATATTGGACCGGACCGGACCGCGCCCACCCCTAATGAAAATACAAAAATGCACATCCATTAACAATATTGTTGGCCTTCAACATATTCCTGATGGAGGGCTTTTTTGTCTTTTCATATGAGGTTGGAGTGCAAAAACAAAGATTTTTAAAAGCAGGATGCAAAATCCAATTTCAGACAATAAAATGGGATGCAAACTCAAATTACCCCATTATAAAAAACCTCTCAATTCTATAAGAACACATGTCCCATTTGATTGGATTTTAACTTGGGCCTAGACCCATATCCGGCCTGGCCTATTAACGCATCTTTTCTCTCGAGCTTTTATTAGAGCATCGTCACTTTCACAGTTTTCATTCCCCCCCTGCAAACCCTAGTCATCCCTCTAATGGTGTGCAGCTTTCGATCCTACCATACACATATTTCCCCGCGATCGATCAATTTGACTAATTTTTAACTATCTTGTTGTTTAAATTTTGATTAATTTGTAACTAATTTGTAACTATGTTGTTTCAATTTTCGATTTTACGAAGGCTCCAAAGAAGGGTGTCAAGCTCCCAGTTGCTGCGAAGAAGAAGCAGGAGAAGGTTGTGAACCCCTTGTTCGAGAAGCGTCCCAAGCAATTTGGCATCGGTGGAGCGTTGCCACCCAAGAAGGATCTGACCAGGTTCGTGAGATGGCCTCAGGTTGTCTGTATCCAGAGGAAGAGACGCATTCTCAAGCAGCGTTTGAAGGTCCCACCTGCCCTCAACCAGTTCTCTAAGACCCTGGATAAGAACCTTGGTCCGTTTTCTTATGACTTGCATTTTATTACCTGCTCAATGTAAATTCACATGATCATCTATGCTTACTGCTTCATTTCATGTTTTGTTAGTCATTTCCTTTGAATATGTTTTTATTTTCGTTCAATGCAGGCTTAATTTTAATCTTGAAAACTTATTAATACTTAAAATACTTCATATTAGCTACTTAGTTTATAATTTATTGACGATTTGAATTAAGATGGGTTGCTGTCTTGTGACCTTGAGCCTACCTGATCTGAAAAGTGTCCACTTTTTGTTCATCAGATATTTTGCTCCTAGCCTAATAAGAATATGTACTTCGACTGTGCTAGGTTAAGATATATTGACATTTGATGTGAATGATTGTGTAGTGTTGTGGTATTTTTATCAATTAAATGCAGTGCGTATGATTTTGTTTTGTTATGCAGCTACAAATCTTTTCAAGATGCTCCTGAAATACAGACCTGAGGACAAGGCTGCAAAGAAGGAGAGACTTTTGAAAAGAGCCCAGGCTGAGACTGAAGGGAAAACTCCAGAAACAAAAAAACCTATTGTTGTCAAGTTTGGGCTTAAGCATGTCACTTATCTTATTGAGCAGGTTTCAATTCCATCTTTGTGTCTTTTGTAACTAGGAAATTTCTAGGAAATTTCTAGTGAAAGAAAATATAGAGGAAAATGGAGCGAGAATTGGGAAAGGAAAAATTTAGGGAAGAGTGAAAAGAAAGTCTCTCAAACTGACTAAATCAATTTTTATACTTCCATACCATTTTATTAAATATTTCTACTTGGTCAGGCCTAACAAATGTTTTTGAAGTTTCATTTTTTTTACCAAATCTAATAATCTCTACATTTTCCGAGATAAGTATTAACATGAAATTCTAGAGTGCTAATTGGCTTTAGCATTGTTTTTAATTCCCCTATATTTGTACAAGCTACTGATTTTCTTCATTGAATTTTCCTAGATAAAAATTAACATGAACTACAGATTTTAAAAGCTGGCTGTTTATTAACAAAATCTAATTTGCAGAACAAGGCACAACTAGTTGTCATTGCACATGATGTAGACCCCATTGAATTGGTGGTCTGGCTTCCAGCTTTGTGTAGGAAGATGGAAATTCCTTACTGCATTGTGAAGGGAAAAGCAAGATTAGGCGCTGTAAGTTTGTATTTATTTGGGTTCAATGTCTGTTTACTATGAGCTCTCTTTGGCTGAATTTTCTTAAAAGAGAAACCATTTGCTAGAATCAATTTTGGCCAAATGTTCTAATCAAAAGCATTCTTGTTATTCGGCTAAAAAATTAAAAAGCAGAATCAGATTACCAAATCAGATCAGAGTAGTCTTCTCTTTGTGGCCTTATTAATGTTTATATATGTATCTACTCTTAATTCAGATTGTCCACCAAAAGACCGCATCTGTTTTATGCCTTACCACAGTGAAGAATGAAGACAAGTTGGAGTTCTCCAAAATCTTGGAGGCTATCAAGGTATGAACGTTTGAAAGGGGTTTTGATTGCATTTGTTACTCTGAAAGTTCCTACAGGGATTCTGTGTTGATTTGTCTTTTTTTGTGGTGATGTAGGCTAACTTCAATGACAAATATGAGGAAAATCGCAAAAAGTGGGGTGGTGGTGTCATGGGTTCAAAATCTCAGGCAAAGACCAAGGCCAAAGAAAGGGTTCTTGCAAAGGAGACAGCGCAGAGAATGTCTTAATTTTGTACGAGTATTTTTTTTCTAATATTTATTGCAGTTTTCTGTTGGAAGGTTTGGTCAAATGTTAAACAGTTTCAATTTTGATGCGCCTGATTGGCCTTCGAGGTTTGGGTTTTGGTTTTAGTACTATCAAATGATTCGCATTATTGCTTTTTTTGTGCGTGGCAATTTAGCCTCCTACACTCCTATTTGCTTACTTCATAAATCACTTCTTGACATTGCCAATCTGGTTTCAAAATTCTTCCTTGAAACTTCAATCTGTGGAAGGTTGACAATGACTGAAAATAATGACGTGCTTTGTATTACGGTCTACGGAGTAGTAAATTTAGGATCTTAAATTTTGACAAATGTATTAAATATCATACTAGTATTCCACCCGTGCGTTGCACGGGAGTTAATATTCAAATATTATTTAATATTATGCAATAATATATAAATACATTTATATATAATAATATTATCACAAATATTAGAGGTTTAATAAGAAAACATATCATAAATTAATGAAAATCTGATTTTTACTACCGGGGTTGAAACTACTTCCATGTGAAGATCTTCTTGTCTAAGAGAGTGAATCGACGTCCGGTGAATTGTGTCGCTTCCTCTTATTGAAGATCATGTAGATGGCATTGTTTTCAATTTTTCTGACATCCATCATCAATGCACATCACACCCTAGTTATCTAGTACTCCGTATTTCTTAAAACATCTCTTTGTTTAGCACGCGTATAATTGTTCTAATTAGTTTTTTTTTTCTCGATTTGTGCGTGTCATCCTTGCGCAGAGGCCATGCTAATCTAATTGTTCTAATTAGTTTATATTTATTAAATGTAGACATCTTTTATATACTTCTATCACTTGAATTTGGATTTATATATATATATATATATATATATATATATATATATATATATATATATATATATATATATATATATATATATATATATATATATATATATATATATATATATATATAAGAGGAACTTTTTAAGAGCATACGGTGTGCCACATAATCCTGCCATGTAATCATATATAATAATTATTAATTACTTTTTATGCTTTTTATTGTTTATTACATTCTATTTTTTATTGCATATTGATATGGAAACAAAATATTGTACGATTATATAGAATCCACCTTATTTATACTACGTAACTTTTTGAGAACCTCTACTTAATTACTCCGTATTAATTTGTATGACACGGATTAGCATCCTTTTTTATTTGTAATAAAAAATAAAGTAGATTGAAAATTTATTTGTAAGAACTAAATTTTAGATGATGAAGTACGTCATTCATAAAATTTAGTTTAGTAGATTTAATTCATAATTTATATTAAATTGTCTGACACGGTTCAATCATCCCTTTTTCATAATTTGGAAGATTTCCTCAATTTAGCCCAATCAGTTAGATTTAATTTATTACAGTAGAGTCAGACAGTTCAACTCATTTTGGTATTATCAAACGGCTTTATATGAGACTGAATTTATTTTGCTTTTACATCACATTAAATTAAACTACGCATATGATTTCAAAATTATCAAATTTACAATTAACTAAATTATGTAATGCTCGTGCATCGCACGGGCCTGAAAGCTATTGTACTTGTATTAAAAGATTTTTTTTGTTTAACATTACACATGCATTAACACCATTTGGCATACTCAAATAAAATAAATATATTAATTTACGAAATCATTCTTTGTACTCTTTTTATAGGAATTAAAATTCACACTTAGGGATGGACCCTAGTCAGGCCCGGGCAATACCGGTTTTGGAAAAGTGGAGCCCGGTATGCTCTGGTACTGGTTTTGGTCGGGGCCTAAACATGACCTAGCCCTAAATCCTAGTCGGTACCCACCCATTTAATTAAAAAAAATTAAAAAATCAAGCCCAAAGTCCCTCACTTATTTCCTCCAGTCCGGGTACCGGGCCGGTACCAGTCCCTAAAAAATGGGCCCAAACCGATACTAACAGTACCGGTCCGGGGACAATTTTGGGTCAAGCTGCCCGGACCCAAATGCATTCCTATCCACACCAATCAATTGATCATTTTAAATTATAATTTCTAAATAATAGTGTTTATATTCTTCACTTTTGTGATTTTGTCTCATCAACAACACATTCGTTGATATACTTATTTTTTATAGTCCGTACCTCATCCTTTTAAATCTTCGGATTTAAGTATATTGTGGATATGAAATTTTGAAATTGGGATTTGGAACAATCAATCATATGACGTTTATGTTTTTTTTAGAGCTAGAGCTTTTGCTATAATGAGATAAGGAATAGTACAGCGTTGATACCTAGTCAAGAAGGATGAAAACTTCAAATCTGATGAACTCAAAGCATGCAAGGTTGTGCATTAGAAACAACAGGGAAAATAAAATGAAATAAGCAGTTCAAATCAAGAAACATTCACTTTGGGGGGAGGGGGGGGGGGTCTCAGGCAACATGCACATCAGCCATTTGATGTCCCCCACTACTGCAGGCTCAACGGGCAACACCTCCACTTGCCCCATCTCAGAATGTTGCGTGATAAATAGCCCGCTTTCCCAACTCTGCTGCTTCTTCAACAGACAAATCATACTCATACCAGTTATCCAGATTCCATAAGCATATGGAGAACCAAATGCCACAGAGAACCTGTTTCACTTTATCTGTCAACCTTCACTATCCACATAATATAGTCTTGGACCCTTTTTATCCCAACCAGTGGTCATAGTTCCATGTTTCCAACTGATAAGCTCATTCCACAGTAAGAATATAAAGCAAGAAATAATATATTACAAATCTGCCAAAGGTCATTGAACCATCTCAAACTCAATAAACCAGTTTTAGATTTTTGTTCAAGCTTATTCTTTAAACAGAAATTGCCCTAAATAGGAGTAAAAACGTTTTGAAATTCCAAAATAGGAGTATCATGTTTTTTATTATTCCTTGGACATGAGTAATCTGCCAAGTTTGGAAAAAAAATGTCATGTTTAAAGCCTTGTAATGCCCAAACTTGGCAGAAATTTACTCTTATTTAGGGAATAAAAAACATGATACTCCTATTTTGGAATTTCAAAACGTTTTTACTCCTATTTAGGGAATTCTCTCTTTTTTAAACTATTGTCTAATTGTGTTACACAACGACTGAAAAATATCAATACATGTGCAGCTCTATTCATATTATATTATCCAGATTTTCCAAGGTAAAACCAAATGCTCAGAAACAATATTTAGCTTGGATTTTTTCCTCTCAAGTTACACTACTAACTTCCGCCTCCCAAACATAGCCTTCAAGAAACATGTTGAAAAAAAGAAAAAAGTACTCGAAATGAAAAGCATACTGTGACAATTCTCCTGCAGAACTGTGGAGGCAAACACTAATATTTCCATTTTTTCAATCTACTTTCTCATCACCAAATCTTGCTCTCTGATCAACTCCAGGAGGATCATATACTCCTTGGACCTATATACCAAAAAACTAAATGGATTTAAATGAATTTGAATTTAAGAACATCAGGCACTGGTATATTCTGCTTTGGTATGGTAAATGAATTTGAATTTGAATTAGAATTTTTCACAGACAGTGAAGGTGACTCTTGGAAACCTAAAACCCGCAAGTTCATACACTAATATATATATATATTTGTTAACAATATGATAGTTCCAAATTCAGAATTAGTAAAAAAATTATTTTGCAATGATCCTAAAGTTGGATCTTTAGCAAAAAAGGTATCTCATATAGCAATAAATATGATTCTCTTTCCGGCCTAGGTTCCTGGCTTCTTAGAAGAGTATAGTTGAAAATATTTTGGTTGGATTCAGCAATATAATATATTCCTTGATTATAACTAAATCTCTTTTACCAAAATTAAACAAATGAAGAACAAATTGAATAGAGAATCTTAGCAATATGAGTTGACTTGAGCAAGAGTTTATTGCTGTCAAGCTGCTACTCTAAGAAGTTCAAATACGGAATGTTGTTTTTTTTATAATTGTGGATGGCCTACAAAGAAAGACTTTTTATTGAAAAAACCTGAATGAGTACATATCAATAGGATTGATAACTAAACTTAAAAAGGATAAGGATTAAACACGCACAAAAAAATGATCCATAGTAATAACTAACCATGTAAGCGGTTCACGATAATAGTGCTCTTCTTCTTCCTCAAGAGCCCATCCAAAAAATGCCACAACTGACCCCGCCCTAACACCAGCAGCCAAAGGAGGGTATCATTCGGCTGATTCAAATTGAGTTTGTGGTAAACTATTATTCTAAATCAAATAATCCATATCGCAACTTCTTCCAATTCACAAAGGTGCATTCATACAACATAATTACATTTATAAGACTTCCTGGTCTGGGAATGTCCTGGACTCATTACAACATTTTAGGTTGACACTAAATCAATCCAATTCATGCCAATAGCACCACCTATTACTAAAAGATTCCCAACCCTAGGGAGACACTAAGGTTTACATTCTAAAGTACTACTTCGTATATAACTAAAAACAATACTTTTGGAGTTTCTTACCCAAGAATTTGGCAAGGTTGTCAAAACTTTTGTTGATATCCTAGTCATAATCAATAAAATCTTTCTCTCATCTCCTTGCTCTTGGAGTTTAGCCTATTAACAAAAAAGGAACCATCCATAAATATCAAATCATTAGAACTCTAAGAATACATGCTCTTGGAATTTATCCATCAAATTTTCAAAATGCCTCCAATATCATCCTTATAACTAACACCAAAAATCAATGATTTGGAAAAAATCCAAATGTTTGATTTGGAAAAAATCCAAATGTTTGATTTGGAAAATTTATGTTTCACTAATTTTGCCATAAATTTACCTATAGTAATCGAAGCATATTAGATTATAGCATACATAATTTGGAACTTCTATATCAACCTAGGAATACACAGTGATGGCAAGTCCGTAAGAAGATGATGATTATACATTTCGTTGAGATAAGAGAATTGAGTGAATCCTTCAAGGCTTAATTTATTTTTGTTCTTAATCGGACTCTAACATGGAAAGGCTGACTATCAGTTGTAAATATCATTCAAACCAGAAAGATGTCAACTATCATTGTTCTAGGATCTTCTGGTCTCTCATTCCTCTTCCAATATTTAATACTCCCTCTGTCCCAATATAAAAGGCACACTTTCCTTTTCGGTCCGTCCCAATATAAAAGGCACATTTCCCTTTTTGGCAAACAAAACAGTGCAAAACAGTGCCAAACAATGTCTAAACAGTGCCAAACAGTGTCTAAACAGTGTCAAACAATGTTCAAACAGTGTTCACCCTTAAAAT